AGACTTTTTGTCGTATGAGTATACGTTGCCCATGGCGCACCACATGGAGGTAAGTCTATCGCACTCCCCTATTATAGAGGCGCTTTGCCTCCGGGGAGAAATGAACTCCCGACCCCTGGTTTACTAGACCAGTGCCAAAACCGCTGAGCTACGGAGACCGAGCAAGCTGTCAAACTACACCACAAACACCCTCAATTTAATAAAATTTGAAGTCACCAATTAGACGGTGAAAATGAACAAACCGGTCAACACAACTTTGAGGACGCACAAGACCTGAGGTCAAAAGAGCTCTTTTATTGTGGATATGAGGATCAGTGATCGGAATGAAATTTTCAAAAAGTCTTTGGAAATAATGAATATTTTAATTAGAAATGGTATCAGGTATGACTTTAGTGCACAATTTCAAGGCTAATTTGTCTTATTTCCGTCATTATGAGCTATCTGCATGCATGTAATTTTTATTTCACTGATGACTCAAAACCTGGGGGTATAAGATAACGATGAGCTTACGCACAAGACGCTTCATAAAGTAGACAAGGTTTGTACGAAAATGAATGCATTTTGAGGATAAAACATTGCTGAACAGATAACAGCTTTGGTAACGAATAATTTTTAAGTTTAGAGACAGCTATCGAGGATTGCGCTGAACTCTCTCTCGCATCAGATTTCTCAGAAGAAAATGGTGTTAACCGATTTACTTAAACGTTTAATATAAATGCGCGTTTTCAATTGTAGGTACTGGAACAGTCTACGGAATTTGGTTGGTTCACTGTTAGCCAGTATGCGGTCAATTGCAAGCCTGCTGGTCCTGCTCTTCCTCTTTATTGTCATCTTTGCTCTTCTGGGGATGCAAATCTTTGGCGGTCGATTCAACTTCCTCTACCTTCGGAAACCACGCTCAAACTTTGACAACTTTCATCAGGCCTTGATCACCGTATTTCAAGTGAGTTAGGTTGTCTTCTCGATTGGCTGGCTTCCATTCATCGGTTGAAAGTTCCTTTATTGAAAACGTTTTTTTATTTATTTCAAATGGCGGGTTTTATGACACTTATCATTAGCCCTTTAGCTGACTTCGAGTTTCACAGAGGGAAGGTTCATCAAAGTAGCAGAAAGTCGAGAGGTGGGGAACAGAAGAGCGATTAACAGATGTAAAAGAGGCAGTTCACAAGTGTAAAAGAGGCAGACAGACACAAAGGTAGAGAAAAAAACGTAAGGTGAGTACATTGGAAGAGGTCGAATATGACAACCAGGGGGTCGTGGTAGTTTGAAGTCAGAAGTCAACTGCCGGTTAATAGACTTTTTCGCCGTATGAGTATACGTTGCCCAGGGTGCACCACGTGGAGGTAAGTCTATCGCACACCCCTTATTGAAAACATATACTTAAGCATTCGTTAAAACAAGTGGAACCCCCACAATGGACGAATAGTGACGGTAAAAATGAATTATGTCGACTTTTAGGGTGGCCAGTTCTAGTGCTATTATTAGGTTTATCACCCACCGAAAATTTTTGTTTCCCATAATCTCAAGAGGCAAGAATTAGTTGAACAATTGTTTAAAAAAAGCAGTATCTCCAACTAACCGGAATATATTTGACTTAATTTCGTCAATGCATCGTATTTGTAGATTCTTACTGGTGAAGACTGGAATGAGGCGATGTATATGGGAATAAAGTCCTACTCAAACCAGCCCTTCGGGAGTCTCGTCTGCCTCTACTACGTGGTTCTCTTCATCTGCGGCAACTGTATCCTTTCAACATGACTATTTATTTATCAGTAGTGAAACCGGGGTACAGAGTCATTTCTTATTAGCGCATTCAGTCCAGCATATTAATTTCTTGAATGAAGTGGCTTTTCTGGCTTCCTGTCTAGAAAACTTTCGAAATTTTTCTCCTTCATGGATAATGAATTAGCGTTTCGAGCCAATCTCATTATTTCTAGAAAAGTTCCCCTAATTCTGTTCTGTGCAGACAAAGGGGGAATACCAATGTTTTCAAACGCTTTCATTTAAGATATTTACTTTCAGTTACACTGTACAAAGATAAGTAGCCCGAAGCAGTGGGATTTATATATCAGATCTTTGATCGTATGTTTGAATATATACAAGTTGACCGCACAGTGACGTATTGACAAGGCCACTTAGGGTGTCGCCTAATAATATTTATTGGGTCTACAACATTGTCATAGAGTTGTTCTGACGGGAAATTCACACTTTCCATCTTTCCTCTAGACGCCGACAACAAACAGCTCGACTTGTTGTTTTAATCATGAGATATTTACCGATGTTCATCGATTATTACATCGCTACTATTTATTCTAACACCTATGGAATCAACCTTCATTCATTTATATCGATCTGCCAGTTTTTTTCAATTTCAAATACCCTCATCAATGCTAATCGAAGCTCTGCAAAGCAGTTCGACTCATCACTGACTAACAGCTGTCACCTACTTAGCAAAGACCTGTTTATTATTTGTGTGGCCTTTCAACTCAAAATTGGCAATAATGCGTACTTTTAGAGAACTTTGACATTGATTAAAGATACCATTCTATCCATCATTTGGTCAGAAGTTGTAAATTACATAAGGTGAATTGTTTTTGTCAATCTGAGACAAATTTCAATTAAATAGAATCAAGTCTAGATTTAAAGTATAGAGGTATAAAACAACGCATGTGGGTTCGACCGATGCACAGCCTGAGAACGGCATCATCGGGTGTTCTGAAACGAATTGGCTCTGCAGAATGCGATCTTCTCATAGAATATGATTCAAATTAATGTCCCTTTTCTAAGGATGAGTGATAGAAAATGATTCTCTCTTCAACAGGCTCACTACGTATTGTCAACATAAACTTTGCACATATCGGAGAAAAGTGTATTTGTAGTGGTCATCACGACTGACTTCGTTATTCTCAGCAGACCGGTATAAATCGAAGTTTTCGCTATTCCAGTGAGAGAGTGTTCTAGTATAGTGGTGTTATCTCCGGACCAACAAAGTAAATGAACAAAGATTAATCTGAAAATTGTTTCGAAGATTAAAATTCTGCTTTCGTGGCTATGGTCAATGCGAGGAGTATTGTGAATGTTGTGGAAATTCGCGTCAAAAGCATGCATTTGCTTGATGTTTCCAGGGTCTTAATAGACTTCGTAACGACCCTTTGTTATCTTTGCACTTGAACAAACGATTCCTAAACTTATGAATACAGCGAATTCAGCTCAATACAGGGAATTTCTATCATTTATATATTAATGAAAAGTAGTATTAATATATTTTTTTTGAATATTTGTTAAAGTAGCCATTTTATAATTTCTGTACTCATAATTAACCTAATAGCACTTTTTCACTTTTTTTCCATTTTTAAGTGGTCTTATTTTTCTGACTGTCAACGACCACATTTCGTCTAGGCTAATGGAGTAGATTTAAGCCCTTCGTTGCCATTATCCCACTTTCAACTAATGCTTTCACTTAAAACGCTTATTTGAAATGCATTTTGAAGAAAATAGGCTTGAGATTTACGCATTACTAAGTAAGTTAAATGGAGAAAGTTTTATATGTTTTTTTCCCATTATTCTGGGAATTTCAAAGATTGGCATTAACGCAGATGCTATCTCACGCCAATCCTCTGGGGACTTTCATAGAGATAATTCAATAAATATCTCGAATATGAGCTGTCTTGAAATGTCCTTCCAGGTTTTTGCTCAAACCCTTTTAAAATAGTGCTTAAAGGTGAACCGAAAAGATCGTTCACACAAAGTTAGGACTATTGTAAACCAGTCTAGACGTCAGAGAGTTTTGAAGTTAATCGAGGTATCCTGGCTAAAATGGTCATTTATATCGATTTTTATTCCTAGCGGTGGAATTTATTCAAAAGCATCGATGTTCAAGACTACCAGCATAGTACAAGTATTTATAGAAAAGAAAACGACTTCTAGTGTCAAATTTTAGCTCGTTTGAAGTCTAGTAAAAGACTAGGGTGGTTGAGTCGTAAAATACCAGAATTATTGTTATTATTTCAAACGGAAGGCTTTATGATATTTATCATTAGCCCCTTAGTTGACTTCAGCTTCCCCCACGGGGGAGACATAAATAGCAGTTAATCAATAGCAGTTCATTAGTTGTCTTCTG